CCAGGATGGATTAAATGCGCACTATAAGACACAAATACATTTAATTGAACTGAAAGCAGAAAACACACTATGAAAAGTTACTTCTTTTTTTCTGTGTAGCTTAAAAGTCAACATTTTTGAAATATTAGATTACACTATTATTCCGAAAATTAAATTGTTGATCATATTGTTATTATTTTTTTACTAAAAGCTGTTTGTTAGGAATAGCTGTTGTTGTGTCAATGCATGCCTATTGAAAAAGGCTAATATTTAAAAACTTTTTTAACACAATAAATTGCACTGTTAAATATAAAGCAGCTATTCTGCTTTATCTTACTCCACATCCCCAATCCTAGTCAATACCTTACCCAAACTACCACCTTATTAACTAATAAGCAGCAAATTTTTGTTTATTGACCTAAAATCATAGTTAATGGTTTGTTTTAAGCAAATAATTACCCTAACATGGACAAAAATATTTGTGCATATTTAGAACAAGAATAGTTTGATGACATTTTAAAAGATTCATTTGTGGATCGAAATGCAGCCATAAAATATTTAATAGTAATTTTGAATCTTTTTGAATTCCCTCTGTCTTTAATACCACAAGGCTATGTGCCATCTATTTGACAACCAAATATATTTTGAAACACTTAAAATAATGGTCCATTAGATAATGTCAGTTAATGTGTTATTAAATACAGTATATTCATATTATGTTATTGAAAATCAAGTTTTTCAATTTTAGTTTATGTTAACTTGCTGCATTAATTCATGTTAAAAAGCAAAATTTTGGATTTTAATATTAAATTGGTAAATCAGCCATGATTATTAAAGGCTGTGCGTGTTTGTTCTTTATTAATATATGTTAGTATATGATTTTTTAAAAATAATTAAATATATTGTTTAACCAATAAGCCATTCAATTAAAATATTATACCAATTTTTAAAAATAATTTAAAATAGAATTAAATTAAATTAAATTAAATTAAAATCAGTGTTCTTATTCAGTTATACATTTTCTTTGATTTTTACATTAATGTATTTATTATGTATTAATGTATTTATTATGCTGAATGACGGGAACTATTTTCAGCCATATTATAACATTTTATTACAAAAGTGTAACACTCTAAAGTACCCACTCTCACTAAGATTTTAGTTCCGTACCAATTCTCATGAGCAGCAAATTAGGAGTTTACTGAATTAAAATTTGTATTTAAAAATTTAGTAATAGTAATTGTAGTTTAAAAGAAGGTTTGACCAAAAAAATGACAATAGTACAAGCTTGTTCGCTATGAGTGTGTTAGTAAAAACATTAATTACTTTAACTAATAGACTATTCTTTTAAAGTGTTAACAATGATAATTCTAATCTAATTCAGTATGCTCACTTATTCTGTAATACATTTTGTTAGATTTTTACATAATCATCTGTTCACTTTGCTGAATGCAACTAATTTTATATAATAAAATAAACATTGTACTAATTCTCATTAGTAATAATTAGCAGGTTTCATCTGCCTATAATGAATATATTGGCTGTTAGTTAGTTCTTAAAGCACATATTTTGCATGATTTTATTGTACATCCCTAAACCTAGCCAACAAAATAACCCAACTACTAAGATGATAACTTATAAAAAAATAAAGAAAATGAGAAAGGACACATATCAAATCAATTCAATTTGAACACTGAAATAGGATGACCCTCTTTAAATTGTGCATACTTTATATATTTTATATTTCACCTGTTATATCCATCTAATATAATTTGTTTCTCCATATCTGTGCCCTTTCAGAATCCTTCAGTGATGTCATTCTGACTCCTTTAGGCAGAAGTTGAGAACTGATGACGCATCTGCCCATCTACCTGCAGCCTTGTAAGTTTTTGTATCACTTTCTTTTGTCACGAATGTCTCACACTTTCTCTCTCCTACACTTTAACATGAGACACCACCGGCATGAACACTGTTTTGTCCTGCACCTGTCAGTTTTCAGATGAAAACTATTTGGACTATTTGGAAGAAAATCAAGTGTTTTGTTTGTCACACTTTAGCAGTTTGTGCCTGGCTGTTTTATCAAAATTAGTTCTTTCTCCTGCACTGAGCCATAAATCAGCAGCACTTACTTATACACCAAATGTTATTCATATCTATATTGAAGAGATATACACTAGCAGTCAAAAGTCTGGGGTCAGTAGGATTTTTAAATGTTCTAAAATAAGCTTCTCCTGCTCACCAAGGCTGCATTTATTTAATCAAAAATACAGCACATATTGTACGATTGTGAAATATTATTGCACTATAAAATAACTGTTCAAAAGTAGTTTATAATTTAATTTAATAATTTATTACCGTGATTTTAACGATGGAATTTTTAACTTCATTACTCCAGCCTTCAGTCACATGATCCTTTAGAAATCACTTTAATATTAATTATTATTATTATTATTATTAATTAATTAATTACTTATATAATGCCTGGAGTAATAATTTAATTTGAAACTACATATAATAAGAAAGCAATTATTTAAAACGTTAATACATTTTACATTTAAATAATACATCCTAGATGAGCAGACAACTTTTCTTTAAAAAAAAAAAAAAAAAAAAAAACTGACCCCAAACGTTTGACTGGTAGTGTATGTTCATCCATAATTTGCCTGATATCACTTTAGTATAGGGTCCAATTTTCACTATTACCTTGTTGATTATTACCTACCTTTTATCAAGATGTTGCCTGTTTATTAGTGCTTAAAGTACATATTCTGCAAGATCTTACTTATACATACCTAATCCCAGCCAACATCTAAACACAAATACTATTTTAATAACTAATAACAAGCAGCAAAGTGGGAGTTTATTGAGCTAAAAGTCATAGTTAATGATTTGTCATTATTTAAGTGTGACCAATTATAAACAAAATATTACAAAAAATATGACAAACATTTTACAAAAAATAACGAAAGTTAATACTGTTGTGGATGTTTTCTGAATTATTGAGTGATAAAAAAGATGCTTCCCAAAACTGCCTCTGTAAAAACTTTTGTCTCTAATATGTAAAAGAAATAAATGATAATAATTAACTTAAATACACAATGTTTAGAATAAATTATTCATTGGATTTGTTAAATCTTTTTAAGGTAACTGATTGCAAACAATTCATATGGGCTGAATTTAAACAAATTAAATGTAGTAATGTTCAACTTAATTTCTTTCAACTTAATTTTTTCAATGTATTTGTGCTAGAAAATAGTCAAAATAAACACATATTTAACAAAATAATGCCTTATTTACTAATTTAATCATAAAATTTTTGAGATCTTTTTGAAAAGTTTGAAATTATTACTATAATGAATTAACTTTAGGAAAATATGACGATCACTTACAATTTTTTCTCTCTCTCTTTTCACCTGCAGTGCCTTAAATTCACCCAAATCAACGAGACTCTGCATTCTCACACCGGTTACTGACTGAGTATCTCTATATGTCTGTTTCTAAGTAAAAGCACACAAATAATAACTGTGGCCTCTGAATATGTAAGCATATGAGTGCGACTGCATGTTTGGCAGGCCTCGCTCCATAAACGAAACCAGAAGATGCTGGTGGTTTGGAAAGCGAGAGCAGCGGGGACCACATGCTAACTGGGACTACTAAAGCACATTAGTTCTGACAAGTATTGTATCATGAGCCAGGGGGGCTTTTGTCGTTCGCCTACACAAATATTTTCGCAAAAAGACTTACGTTACAAGAGAAGCCTGTGAGGTCAGTGGCATTTTGAGGATGGGGTAATTAGTGGAACTATGACATATCAGCACCATTCAGAGGCAAATGTGATCCTCGTCGAGTGCTGAACGTAAGTGATTTAACAGTACGAGCCTAATGGCAGATCAGAGTATGTGGGAAAAAAAAAGTTTATTACTTCATTTAAGATTGAGGAATTTGAATTGCATTAGATATACAGTAGTGGAGATAACACGGTTTCAAAGTTAATCAATAAACTTATCTGTATGTGTTTTTGTTAATCATCATCATTCATAAGTAAGATTTCTGCATAGAAATGTATACATAATGTTTTGTTTTGGATCAGCTTGTTAATTTTCTCTTGTGATTGACAAATATGCATTACTTTAAGATTTTTATAATATAATATAATATAATATAATATAATATAATATAATATAATATAATATAATATAATATAATATAATATAATGTAATATAATATTTAAATGACAACTCAAGTTGTAAAAAAAATAACAATGATTTTTTTGTTTAAAACAAGGTACTAAAAATTATTTAATTTATTTTTACATTTTGTAATGTTACAATGTTTACGTTTTTTTAAAGATTTTTTTTGAAGAAATTAAAAAGTATCAAAAATTATTTTATATATATATATATATATATATTAGCTTGAATTATGCTTTAAAACAAGTTCCTGGAAAAGATTAGTTCAGAATTTTAAATCCCACAGATCTTTCAAACCACACAGTGACTTCAAACCAAAAGTGCACATTTAAAACAACTGGAGGTTTATACTGTTAAATGACACTTAGCGTTAAACCCCAATGAATTTATTGAGTCCCAAGCCAAGGGACATCCACACTAATGCCCCAATTAACACTCCTAACACGGCTGGAGTGCTGAGGCTATTAGCGAAGACAACAATATCCCCAATCCAGCAGCCCGCTGCCTGACACCTTAACCTAACCTTATCTCTGACAAACACGCCGCATCCATTTCACAACCCTCCGAGCTTCACAAACAAGCTTTAAAATAAATGGAGCCGGGGCGAAAAACACAGCAGCGAGGGGAAAAAAGACGAGGCTAGCCTTTTCCGTCCCTCCAGTGGCTGAGGTTAAGATTCTTTGGACTGAGCCGAGAAGCTTTTTTCCACGCAGTCAACTGAAAAGTGTGCTGTATTTTTACTGCCCTCTGAAAAATGATCACTGACCACCAATTCTCCCCCAGTGCTGCTGGAGAAAGTGATGCCGAAAGTGGGGATCGTTGCTACTCACCACCAGATGGGATAGCCTCCAAGCACCCGAGAGCTGGAGAACCACATGCACATGAGAAATCCAACCAGGTACAAATCCATGAGGTATGTCTTGTGTGGATGGAAAGGGTCTATTGATCAGTACATAGGATTCCTAGAGAGGGGGTGAAAATTAAATCCCGGCAAGGCAAAGATGGATGCTTGAGAGAATAATTAGGAATTTTTTTTGGGGGGGTTCGCGAAAAAACAAAAATAAAACAATTCTCCAAGGTTTGCTGCTGCTTTGAGTTGGGTGAGAAAAGTGTGTGTCTTCCAGTAGTAGTTAGGAGAGTAAGTGTCTCTTTCACACACTCGCACACACGCTCCTACTCGTCCTCTGATTCCCTCCCTCTTACTGAGGTTCTTCCCTAAGGTACATATCTTTTTCTCTCCCCACTTTTTTCCCCTTAGGATCATCAGGGCCAATATTAGAGAGACAGAGTGAGAGAGAGAAAGCGAGAGAGAGAGAGGGGAAAAAAACGACAAGCGAGGTTTGGAGATGTCAGCTGGCAAGCCAATCACAGAGCATGGCCTTAGGTTACGCAAAAAAAAAAAAAAAAATTATTATTCCTGCCCATCTGTCAATCATGCACCACCCCCTGGTAATGTAGCAAAGAAAGAAAGAAAGAGAGAGAGAGAGGAGGCTGGGAGGGAATAAGAATGAAAGGGTGTCAGGACTGAGTTTCGGAGAGGTAGATTTGTCTTATTAAGATCTATATTGTCTGCGTTAGCATCAAGGAAACCCAGCTGTGCCAGACTCGGGCCTGCTGCTCGACGAGGAGGTGGTGGCGAGAAGCGTCGTCTCCGTTTTTTAAGCACCCGTGCTCCTGAACTAATTGTTCCGGATGCGTGTGCGTGCACATACATTCAAGAATTTTGTCTTGGAGAATTTTGATGGCCGCGTCCTCCCCTTGTGACACAAAGGCAACACAATAAAAAGCCGTAAAAGGTGGTGTGGCAGGGCCAGGCATGCAGTGTTCTGTGCCCCAGCGGCCCAAAGGCAGCACATTTTACATAAACACTATTGTCATTCGGATGGGATGAGAGCAGACAGCACAGAGAAGGAGACACGGCATTAGAAGTTGACAATACATTCAAATATAGAGTCTCTGTGTCAGAATGAACGGCAGGACCGAGGTGAGAACTGACAACAGTTTCAGGTACAAACACTGGAGGAATTGCAAATGGAGGCAGAATGAAATATAAGTTCATGTGGGTAGCTGTAAGTTTTGGCACTTTTAGCACTTTAAACAGTCTAGGAATCATATCATTTGGAGCTTTGAGTACTAATTTAGTTTTGCCATTTGAATAAAGTTGAAACAAATCAATGTTAGGAAGTAGAATTAAACTGCAAATCAAAGAATTTTTTAGATTGTTAGTTAGTTAACTGAATTTCTTTGAATTACAATTTCACAAATGAATCTTCCTGTCGTTAAAAATTATGTAGGTTCCGGTCAATTTTCTCCAACCCATTGCAAAAAACATTTGCATAAGTGCCACTTTTCCCCAGAATATTTAATTATGTTATTGTCCCATGTTGCTTGCTTGACTGTGGTTGGATAAAGCTCTTTCCTGCAATCCAGCAACCAAGTAGTAAAGCCAGTCTGTCTGTCTATCTGCCAGTGCATCTGTCTATCTAACTCATAGCAGGGACATGGACTGTGCACCACAACCATAGGAGCCCAGGAGAGACACTCACAGTTCTGACCGCGGTCTGGAGGTCATATTTCCATCGCCTCTGTTTTTTTGCTTTTATTCTCCCTCTTCAAAAGAATAAGCGCTGTGCGGGGACTCAGCTCAGAGGCATGACGGGTCATTCTGACATCTTAAATGTTCATCACAGTGTTTCTTCCAGGATGATGCATCCTTGATCTCATCAGATATGAACCTGTTGGTTAAATTGCAGCTTCCAGAAGCACTCGGCTCGTGCTACGTTCCTGATGTTGGAATAAAGATCTGCTTTCCATCAGCTGTATTGTGCCTAGATCAGCGGTTTGATTCAGCATTCTTGCAGAGTGACAGATGCAGATCTGCTCGCCAGGATTGGCTGGGAAAACCTGATCGGAGCGTAATTTACGAGTGGAGGCAAGGAACGGTCTGCGGTCGGCATCTCAACAACACTGAAACCACGTTTCCCAGGTCAAGGCCATAGGGGCGCAACACAACGAACCAGCTGGAAATGAGCTTACGATTAGAATCTCGAGGACTCAAACCCCAGCATGCACCGCAATGGTGCGAAACCAGGATAAAAGCCAGAGATGCTTGACATAGCTGCAGCACAAACAAGACCATTCCCTCCTAGCATAGCCATTGTGTTTTGGAGGAAGTCTTGATTCTCGTATCAATCGCACTTAATGAATTTACTGAAGTGGGCCCTAGAGCATGGAAATGAAGTGCACCAGCAGATCAATGGGAATAAAGAGAGTCGCCCGGAGCTTTGACCTCTGGGTCAGGAGTCTCTCATCCTCCCTCATTAAGTCATGTTTGTGGACACTCCTGCATTTTATTAGCGCCTAGCTAATACATCACCCTACACACCCACAAAGTAGTCCCTGTGATCTGGGAGAGACACCCTTTTGGCTTCCTTTGAGTGGACGGGCACAAGTTGATAGTTAGTTAAAATGCACATTTTTAAAAGTATGTTTATGAGCAATAATCATAAAAATTCATGCAGGCTGGAATTTATAGGGCAAAAGATTTCCTTAAACTGGTCCAAATGGACCCACACAACAATGTTTGGTTTCAAAGCGAGTTCTGCTTCATACATTGATGGACTATTGACAGGAGTTTATACAACTATTGTCAAAGTTTTTTTTTTTGTACCTAATATAGCCACACCTTCAGCATTAGCATTAATCCGTATGTGTTTGCTAGCAACATGCACGTTGAATTCAGAGACATACACAGAGGACCCCTGTGGTGCAGGTTTCTTAGGCGACCCCAAAACGGCCGTAACCAGGTCCGGCTCTTTCTCAGGCTTTCCTCAAAGAGGGACATGTGTAGACCCCCACTATCCCTGACACACACTCAATCCGGACAGTGTGGCCGGACACAGGCAAGCAATAAAACCTGGATTAGCAGAGTGTTCACACATAACACTAGAGCGAGAAAGTTTCTTAACACGCCCAAGCCCACCCTCTCCTCACACACGTCTCTCCTCTCTTTCATTCCCTCCATCTCTCCTTCTTTTGTGTCTGCGTCTCTCCTCCCTCCTCTTCCTTTGCCCCTTTCTCTTCAGAATTTCATTGTTTGTTATTACCATGTTAGAGATAAAGGAGGTCTGAGGAATTAGCTTGTTCTTACAGTTGCAGAGAAAATCCGCTTAAGTCCACAACCCCCAAATTTGCGGTACCCAGAAGCCCCAGCTCTCGGGGTTTATCCCCAATGCCTATCTTTGTGGTGGGGGGAAAAAATCATTTTGTAAGGTGCCAACGGGGCTGAGATGGAGCAGTCCGACCCATCTCCAGGCCCCCGTCCTCGCATCATGTCCTGGAAATGGGTGCATTTGTATAATATCACTGCTTTTGTCCCTACTTTGTAAGCTGGAGACAAAGGCCAGACACTCCTCAATCCCCTCCCCACTCATCCCCCCCAAACAAACCTTTTTCATTAGAGCCGCAAACACTTTCCCCTTCAATAGCCCTGATATTACGCATCATCCTCTGCATCTCCGCAGGACCCGAGCGCTCTAAAGCTCCTCTCTTCTCTCAGGACACAGAGCTCGCTTAATTAAACCACACTTAAGCCGGACAATAAGCCTTCGCGCAGGTCTGGGCGAGCCCGCCGAGAGTATTCATGGCCGTCGTAAAGCGAAAGCCGCAAGAGAGCGAGAGAGAGAGAGAGAGAAAGCTATACGCCAGATACTTTGTTCACACAAGATGAAGAGTCAACAGCCACCCCCACACCATTTCTCTCCTAATAACCACCTTTAGAAAGGCTCCGTCCTCGCACAATGCTTCTCGGCTCCCCTCCTCTCGCTCTCAATCACCCTCCAGGACAATGCCTAAAGCTCCGCAGCCCCCCAGGACCCTCGGCCCCACAACAGACACTTCTTTTATTGAAATTCTTTGGTGTTCTAATCCTCAGCTTCCTCTATAGGACAATAATGGAGTGTCAGTACTTTAGCTTTTTCCAGTGTGGCTATCATTAGACCGGCTTGGGTCACAGGCCCTCTCTTCCTCCTCTCTCAGGTTTGAAATTATTCTTGACTCAGGGTTATTGAAGCTCCAAAATGAATACATTACTGGTGCATATTGCATATTTCGCCGTACTGTTATCCTTGCGGAGCATGTCATCTGGCTCACATTCTTAAGCAAATATCGAATCAGAAGTGAGAAGCGCAGACCGTATTTATTTTCAGAGTGCGACAGTCCAAACCCCAGGCCCCAGACGAAGACATTAGACTTTTGAATGAATGGATTTCATTTTGAATAGGAGTAGTGGAAATTATGTCACTCGTATGTGTTGAATATGTCATTTTTGGGGATTGAAGGATTGTCTGGGTCAGGTTTTCAGGGTTTAGATGAACCTCAGATTGGAAAAGGCTTACCATGGCTTCTTAAAGAGTTAGTTCACCCACAAAATGAAAACTCTGAGGTCTATCCTCACACGCCAAAAAAGTCTTCTCTTTATCATTTTTGAGGTGGTCTGTGCGCTGATGAGTGTTTATATGTGATCAAAAGCCTAAATTAAATCTGTTCATCATATAAGGGTCTTTAAGTCTTAAGTCTTTCAAAATGGCTTACATCAAACAAGTCAGTTCATATGGATTACTTAATTTTTTTGAAGCATCAAAGTTTTGATATAGACTATTAGAGATTTAAATATGTATTAAGAGTTTGAAAGGACAAATTAGTTTTGGGGAAAACTGTATAATATTCAAAACGATAGTAGTTGAATATCTTGGTATCTGGTGGTATTTGATGATGATTGAGTGATTACATAGTCTTCATAAAACTATTCACAGTTCACATGATTTATGCACTATATTCCAAATGATCAGAAGCCATACAATAGCATACTGCATACAGCCATCTTTATGTTTTTCACACAAAACATCTATATTATATCAGATTTTGTATGGACTTAAGTTACAGTTCTTTTCTGGTGCTACTGCTTGACAGAATCTGATCACTGCTTACTTTCATTTTAATGATACAACAAGTGTCAGAAATAAAGCCATCTTGTCTGTCATCATCATTGGTGTCCATACAGGAAATGATAACGTAACACTTTACACTAAGGTTCATTAGTTAATGCATTTACTAACATGAACTAATCATGAACAACACATGTACAGCATTTATTAATCTTAATTGAACATTTACTAATGCACTATTTACATCCAAGTCCATACTTGTTAACATTAGTTAATGCACCATGAGTTAACATGAACTAACAATGAACTACTGTATTTTCAT